ATACTAGCTATAATTACTCAATAGTCAAAATTCTCGAATCCCATGGCATAAGCTTTTTATTCATAAGCTAATAAATATAATGATAGGGACAACTTCCATATGAAAGCTAATGCGACCTAACCTAGACGTATTACCGGATTTGTACTAACATGAGCAACACAACGGGTGCCACATGTGGAGCAGGATCTGCTTACCCTTCCGGAGCACCTGAGATCACCCCAACTTTTTTGTGGGATTCGTGTTGCTCAGTTTTTAGTTTTCTGTGTTGTGTTTTGTGTACTATTGTTTGTTGGTCTTTTTTCTTTTTTAGCCATGGCGTTGTCAGTTAATTTTCGATTTATGAGTTTGAATGCCCCTTTGGTATCTTTCGCCTCTCTAATACCCGAAAAAACAAATTTGACAACAATTTGATTTTGTTCAAATGAAGGACATGCTACATGGATTAGATATTCAATAACACCTATGTTTACATGTATATGTATAACTTTAAACACTTCTTTTCCGTCGTCACTATTCTTGACCCTCATTCCTATTCAAGTTAATTTTTTCACTTCCAAACATTTTATGTGGGGCGGGATCAATTTATTGTTATTAATACATCAGACCGTACTGTTACCGGAGCTTTAGATACAACAAACCTGGTACTTCATACCTGAGAAACAGGCAATATATGTCCTCAATTTTAGAATTCTTTCATACATTTTTGTATTAATCAAAATTTTTAATCAATATGTGTTCTACAAGTATCACCAATCTTCACCTTTCAGTGGATACCTTTAGGCTTAATAACTAAAATATTTACTACATAGTTTTAAATTGTTTTGATACACCTATGCGTAGGACCTATTTTGTTTTAAATACGACTTCTTTCCAGTATGTTCTTTGTCTGGGCCCGATTTGGTGGTGATAGATCTTTCATAGTATATCCGAATCATTATGCAAGGAATTCCGCTAAAACAGGTGCTCGGGGCCGTCTTATACTTGTAGTGAGGTGAGGAATGTTTTTTGCTTTGTGTTTGGGGCCTCACTGTGACTTTGAGATGAAGAGGAAACAATAAAAGCGCTGTTCCTTTGTGTTTTTTGCTGTCCATGTACTGATTTTGTGTCATGGATAAATGCCCCCATATCCTTGTTTTTCTATATGACTGCCAATGAGACAACTGTCCATCAGTGACCAAATGACTTATAAAATAGAAACTATAATATGTATATGTCGCCATAAGGCCTTCGACATGACAAATGTAAAACAATTCAAACAATTCAAACAAAATAAAACTAACGTCCTGATTTATGTACAAAACAATAAACGAAAGACAAAATAAGATATAAAGCAACAAAGAACAATCACTGAAATGCAGATTCCTGACTTGGGCCAAGCACATAAAGAATGTGACGGTATCAACATTGGGAAACAAGATTATAGAATTATTTCTGTACAACGCGTTTTTTAAACTTTACTTAACTCGTATTCCTGAGAAAAAATTAAATATTTTGGGTTAGAGAAAATAACGTATATGCAGAGTGAAGTATTTCAACCACCTACGAAAATTCTACACTTCATTAATTGTTAAATCTTCGTAACTACATGAACTCTGCATAAATTGAATTTCAGATATTCAGGTAAAAAAAACAGAATAAGTGAAAACTGTAATGAATAAAGTAAATGGGAGCCAAGACAATAATGAATTCAAGTACTTTTATCTTGAACTTCTCATATATAAATCAATTCATACACAACATTATACACATATCGTATCGCATGTCATTCGGAAATCAACTATGACGCTCTTAAATAATGGATGTTAAAAATGGATTCAAAATGTAAGCTGACTTCTTTTTCTTTATACCTTCAAATAATTGGAAAAGTCTTTTTCACAATACTAATCTTAAGTTTTCGTCTGGCAAGATACAATTTTAGGAGGGAGACTTTTACGAAATTAGCACAACAAGGATTATTCATCCTTTAAACACTGTTCCTGCGAGTCCAGTCAATTAAAACTTTTCATGACAAGGACCCAAGAATTTGGTAAATTTTGACATAAATCATTTTAAATAATATCATAAGCTTAGTTACATTTCCCTCAAAGTTGTCTTAAACGGATGCGTTTGTCCTGTTAAGGTCATTTTTATGTTGGGCTCACCAATATTGTTTTTATTGTTTGTTTGTTGGGTTTTTTTGTTGGTTTTTTTTTTTTTTTTTTTTTGCTTTTCAATCTTTTTGGACTCGAGCATTATATATCAGTATAATACTGGTGTTGATATAGTCGGGAGTACAGGTCATGCCCTCTTCTGTTCCCCACAAAAAAAAACCCAAGGCATGAGTTGTAAGTGGAAAAAGATAAAAAGAATAGAAAAACTGCAAACAACATTAAAATATTGAAATGCCAGGGAATTCATGTGAGGTTCATCCTTCGGCGACCCCTCACCAGATCCCTTACTGACATGATAATACTTCACATTTTCTAACCTTATGCAAAACAGAAATCATTATCTAAAAGACTAAATTTTCGAATCCCCTGGCATTGGTTTATGTTTTGTTTATATGCTTCAATGAACTGTCACTGATAACTTCCATGACAAAGTTTTTACAAGAAATGAAAAATTTGACAAAAGTTATATGTTTTTAAATGCTACATCTATTAAATATTCGATAACGCATAATGTTTACATGTATACGTGTTATTTTAACCACTTCTTTTCAGACAGGCGGAAGTAAATACTTGTGAATGATGATTTAAATCATTAAAGTTGGCCTCGGTCTTTCCGTTGTCATAATGAAAATGAAATTATAGAATAGAAAAACAAGAAATTCCTAGGAATTTCAATCCTTTCGCTTCGTTTAGAATTAAAACTTTGTTAAAAGAAAAAAAACAGATTTTCTTTCATGATTTTCATCAAATTTAACTCCTACAAACCTTATTTTTTCATGATTTTGATCAAATTTCAAAACGAGTATTCTGTGAATTTGAAATTCAGTTACCTTTGTGTTAAACGGTTCTAAAATTTTGTCATTTGAAATCCTTTAGAAAACATGATTTTTTTTCTTTAGTCGAACTTCGACTTTCTTGGTATGCTTGAATGTTTATTGTGTGAAAATTAAAACCTAAATCTAACTTGTAATGTTTAAATCTGCAAGAGGTTATAATTGATTTCATTTTATAGTTTTATTTCTGAACAAAGTGTTTTTAAATTTTACTTTACTCGTTCAAGCCTTGAAATAGTTTCTGTTCACAGTGATGCCACTTATACGATTTTACATGAAACTTTCCATTGCATTTTTCTCCTTTTATGGCCATCTTTATGGAGATTTGAAATAATAGCAAAGTTATATTTATATATATTCCAGATCTTGGAAAACTTTGTACGAAGATAGGTTTAGAATGGCAGCTGCTTGGGGTACATCTAGGTTTCAATACCGTCCAGATGGAACAGTTGCGTGCTGCGTACCCCTCGAGTATTTCACAATGTGTGTCTGTCATGTTAAGTCATTGGAAAATTGTCACAGAACAGCATAAAGTGAATTATACATTGGTATTGGCTAATTCATTAAGAGAAGTTGGAAGGGCAGATCTTGCAGATGATATTAATGGCTCTGTTCAACGGCTTTCTTGTGATTTGTCTGTAAAACAGAAAACCTGTTCTATATCAAGCACAGAAGGAGAGGACGAACTTGATGGATGTTCAGGTATAAACAATAAATCTATTTCTTGTCATTTCTTTCCTGTTATTTTAAGTCTGAGTCACTTCTTCAACATGCGTCTTTTATTGAAATGGCAAATATCATTGAAGATCTCAACTATTGGTCTATTTAAATGTTTTTTTTCATTTGAATTGTGTCGACGATATTGATAACATCTAACAACATGTAAAAATAAATATCGTGTTAAACAATAAATAATTATTATATTCTTTTTAAATCTTGACAGCGCAAGAACAGTTATTCTCAAATGGTCTTTTATGAAATAAGGAGTAGTAAAAGTATGCAACTATAGGTCATAGTACGGCCTTCAACAATATTTGGGATACGGATCAGATGCAGTCCTTCAAGATATGATTTGAATGCTTCGGCAGACTTAACGCTGACCATTTCTTTATATGGGTGGTCAAGTCAACAATAGCCTTAAAGTAATAATCAGTAGTAATTTTCTATTTTAAAATTTTGTATTTGTACCTTAACATAGGTTAATCCTTCCGCACAAAATTGACCTTATTTGTTAAAAGGTAAACAAGTTTTATTTTTCACTTGGATGTGTTTGGGTAGAAAATCTTTATGTGTGCTTATAAGTCTACAACAAAAGCAGTAGAACAATCAATAAAGATTTCTCTTTTTAAAAAAGATACGTAATTGCTTAGGCCACACCAGAAATGGTGAAATTTATAACTTAATTCAGAAAATGGGGACAAAATTTACCAATCGAAAAGGCTAAATTTAAAGCATATGTGAAAAATTATTATGTCAATTTAACTACAACATTGGAATAAAAATTAAGTAATTTCGTTATGTGATTGAGGCTCCATACATGTAAACAATCAACAGATTTTAACTCGCAAACTTATCACCTATTCCGAAGTTTTGCTTTAGAGAAGCGCTTACTTAATTTACTATTTGAGTCTTTTGTCCTTTTACCGTGATCATGATGACTGAGATAAATCTTCCATTTGAACCCCCCTTCCAGTTGACGGAATAAGCAAAATACACAGGTAGGGGGTTCAAATGGAATATAAAATTTGGTGCATTTGAAGCGCTTTTCTGTATTAACAACCTTCATCGGGAATGCAATCCCAATTATTACGTGAATAGTTAGTTGAGGGGATATTGACCCAAAGGGGTAAAAAAAAAGAATCCCCAAATCAATCTTGGGTCAACTTTGCCTGATTTCATTTAATAGTATTACACAAGAAGAACCAATTAAGTTTTCTCATCTACGAAATCTTATCATAACAAGCTCACAACACATCAAGCAACTTATTACACTAAACTTTTTTTTAATGTTTTTAAATAATAGTCGTCAACATATAATCCTAAATGATGACAGTAGAAGATATATAGATGAATTAAAAACTATAGTCTTTGAGAACAGGACTAGTGATCCATTGTACAGATACATAGGTAAGACCATTGAACTTAGGAGACGAATTCTTTCATTTTGTATGTACATTGCTTAATGAACAAAGTAGGTTAATCTTACACATAGTTATATTTGTACATTTGTAATATCATGGAAAATTGATGTTAAATAAATATCGGAACCTATTGATTATACGGCTAATGTAATCTTAAACTTTTCTGATTATATGCCTTGTAGTTAAGATAGAATAAATCAATTTTTCATGTTGTCATTAGTATTTTTCAAAGTCTAAAACTGTTGTGTAAAAAGAATTTCTATTTCAAAATATAGACTTCGAACTGTTGAAAATATAGCTGAGCAAGTTTTAATATTATATAAAAACATGTGTTTACATCCAATTCATATAATCTTGTAACACTTTTACAGAACAGACAAAGGTATATATGGAGCATAAAACTCAAAACATTGATTTATTTGTAAAAACAAGAGCATTTGAGAAAACAATGGAACGTTTGTTGATGAATGGCCTTGTTATTATTATTGGTAATGCCGGAGATGGAAAAACCACGCTCGCCGTCAATGTTCTAAATGATTTACGGAAAAAAGGATACACACCTCTAGTATTTTCTGACCCAAATTTACTTGAACAAGCAATAGATCCAAGTAGACAAATAGTATACTTCGTCGACGATGCATTTGGAACCCCAACATTAAACAAAAGGTTCATTGAAAGTTGGTCAAGGCTTTATGATAAAATTGACAGCATCGTGTCAAAACAAAAAATGTCATTAATTCTTACCTCAAGAAAAATGGTGGCTCAAAAAGCAAAAAATATGCTGCGTTCTTATGAACGTTACTTTCATTCACTTCTCGATATTACGGACGAGAGTTTATGTATGAATAAAGTCGAAAAGCGAATGTTAGTTGCCCGCCACTGCCAAGGTCATGGCCTTTTCCCAATGCAACTTGTAAAAGATCAGTCAGGATACACTCCCGGGTTTCCTTTGATTTGCAAATTATATACAAAAAACCATCGTTTGAGAAATAATCCAAATTTCTTTGAAAACCCGTTGTCGGTATTACAAAAAGACATTTCAGAACTTCTCGATTATGATATTCATGCATTTTGTATCTTGATTCTAATTGTTCTCCATGACGGCCGCCTTCCAGTTGAATATCTGGACGTTTTTGAAGACGATGGTATGGACGAAGAAAAATTGGACACTGTCGTTAAAGCATTTGGTATGAACAAAATGACAGCTTTGTCTCAAATGGAGAAATCGGTAGAGGCAATATTAGGGGTATATGTGGAAGAAATAGATGACTTGTATGTATTTTTACACGATTCATTTTTTGATGCCGTTTGTTTAGTTTTCGGACAAAAGCACCCGAAAGAAATACTAAGATTAGCGTCAGCTCACTTTATTGAGCAGCGTGTTAGGACGAAAAATTTAGTTTTATCGGAAAATAGTGGTGAATTAGATGTTATCGTTTTGAAAAAATCGCATTTAAAGTTTCTGTCAAAACGGTGGATTACTGATATACAGACAGGACATATTAGAAATGTCATGAACAACCCGTCTATTCAAGACGATGCCATGTTATCGAACTTTATTGAAAGCATAGAGCGTTTGTCATCAGTTGAATTTGAAGGCTTTATCGAGAGCATGGACGGTCAACGATCCCTAGTCGAATTTATATTAGACGATGGTCATACAAAATTAGCTATGTATTTGCTTAAAAAAATGAAAGATATGAAAAACCTATTTTTTGAAATACCAACCAAAAGTCTCCATTCAGCTATAAATAGGAGAGACGCTACACTAGTCAAGTTTTTGCTAGATTTTGGAATGGATACGAGTAGTATCACACGTCCGTACAAACTAAATGGTGTGCATTGTGCAGCTCGATCAGGAGATGTTGAAATCTTACGTCTGATATTGGAAAAAACAAAAAATGGTGTCGTTAATAGAATAGACAATTTAGGCATGCAGCCAATACATTACGCATGTCAAAGTTCGAGTAATTCATGTGTAGAACTTCTTCTAAAAAATGGAAGTAGCGCTGATAATGCAGATTCTGCCGGAAAACAACCCATTCACTATGCATCCTACGCTGGTAGTATCACATGTGTAGATCTTCTCAACAAAGCCGGTGCGTGTTTAAATAAAAAAGACTGGATGGGACGGACGTCTCTTCATTTTGCTGCTATGAGTGATAATGTCGATCTTGTATGCTTTCTTCTAGAACATAGCTGCGATCCCAATACAAAAGATAGTGATTTGTGTGCACCGTTATTTTATGCTTGTAAAAATGGACGCTGGAGAACAGTTAAAGCTTTAATTCAGAGTGGCGCTGACATTAATATTCGCGACAAGTATGATAAATTGCCTATACATGCAACTACAGAAGGGTGTCATTCTGATCATGAGGGTGCTAATTCCTGTTTGAAACTGCTGTTAGATTTGAATACCGACATCAATGTTGTAGATGACCAAGGCAAATCTGCTTTACATTACGCATGCGCTTGGTCATATGATCACAGATATGACAGTGTGCAAATGCTTGTCTCATCAGACGCTGATATTAATATAACAGATGGTTTTAAGATGACTCCGTTGTTGTATGCATGCAATAGTGGCAGTTTTAAGTGCGCGTCTCTTTTACTTCATTATGGCGCCAATCCAAACTGTGAGGGTACACGGCAAACTAAACCGATACACCTTGCATGTGCGGATGGTAACATTGAAATAGTCAAACTTCTGATTAGCAAGTCAGCCGATGTTAAATCAACAAACACCGATGGTCGCCAACCAATTCATTTTGCTAGTCAATATGGAAATAATGATGTAATTTGCTTTCTTGTTTGGAATGGAGCTAGCGTAAATGTTCAAGACAGTACGGGAAAGACTCCTCTACATTATGCATGCAAATGGGGACGAGAAAAATCGGTTAAACGTTTGATGAAACTCGATAGTAATCCACACGTCAAAGATTACGACGGATTTTATCCACAGGACTTAATTCCGCAGTGGACAAAAAGCTGTAAATTTATCAGACAATGCTTAAGTAGTACTTCCAATTCTTTGTAGCATCCGTTCGAAATACAGTAGGACGATCATATACAGGCAAACCTTGACTATATTATATGATTAACAGTTTGAGTTCCTGCTGTGAAGTGAGAAAATAATGCAAGATAAATAATTGTGCATGGTTTTGTCAAATATCTAAGCTTTTTTTTTTATATAAGTCCTTCTTTCCGACAACACCTTAACAATGATAACCCAATTCAAAAGACAATGGGCGATAAGGGCCGTTTTTAGGCCCCACCACCAAATTTCAGTTAATTTGTCATGTTGTAACTGTGTACAACAACCCATCTGAAAATGGTTGCATTTTAGATCTATCTCGTATATATAACTGTTCACTTGTTTCGGTTCTAATACATCATTGGCTTTCAAATATTTGGGTTTGACGTTTCTGATGAAGGGTAAATCCAGAAAACGGCTTCGGGCTTGCCGTATGTGTATAGACAAATATTCATTTTTGAATAAACTTAAAGTATATGCCACATATATATTTGTTTCTCTTATTTATAGCCAATTTATCTTTTTTCCGACCTGTTGATTATCTTTCATTTAATCAAAGTGTAGTTCGTTTGATCTCAGTTCTTCGTTTGCCAGCCAAAATTCAATTATGACGTCAAATGTTCTTGCTTTCCTCTAAATTTTCTATTGTGACGTCAGGAAAAAAGGCGACCATGTCTGAGGACGTTACAAAGATAAAATAGTCTGTTTGTAGATCATTGGAAAAGAAGGGTTACGTTTGTCTGCACATCGTCTTAAAATCATTAGAGAAGGAGATTCTACCACCATATTTCGTGCAATACTTCCACTGTGTAGTGCAATACGATATTTCTCCACTTTCGACATGTTTTTTTTTTTAAACCGCTCGGCGAGCCTCGCATTTTAAACTGTTTCGAGTTGAAAAATATCGTATCACACTCGATGCAGTGGTATAATCTATATAGAAACTTTAAGTACATTGCCATATATATACTGTACACAAACTATGGTGTAGTTCAGTTAGAGGAAATGTTTTACAATAAGATTCCGATAAAATGACAAAACTCCAGAAATCAGTTACCAACAAGAATCATACTTGGATGTAAATGATCAGTTCCATCAAATTTTATTTTTTTTCTTCTTTAAAATGATTATCATTTTCAGAAAGAAATTTAAAACTCCAAAAAATCTTTTCAAATTGTAAAAAAAAGACTTACGCCTAATTGTTTGTCAATACTTATAAAAAATAATATTCAATATACTTCAATCTACGATTAGTCTCTATAACAATATACTTTTACCAAGACCAAATACTAATTCTAGTAGGAAACCTTTTCATTAATTATATAATCAAAGTCTGGAATGATTTACCATTCATCATTAATAAATGGTTCTGAAATGTAAATTAATCAAGGAACATTGATAAAATATTTTCTTGGAAATATTATGTGAAAATGAACAAATCTAATCATATTACATTTTGTTTTTGTTAGATTATGAAATGTGTCATTATTGCAGTTATTTGAATATATGAATAATGTATTTTGCAATAAAATGAGTACTGTATGAGTGTACTAGTATTCTTTTGAGGGCCTAAATAAAAATAAGACAAGTTGTCTTACAGATTAAGTAAGCTTCTTTGAGAAAAAAAAGTAAAATAACAAAAATATAGAACTCCAAGGAAAATTCAAAACGGAAAGTCCCTTATCAAATGGCAAAATCAAAAGCTCAAACACATCAAACGAATGAATACACGATTTATTATTATTATTATTATTATTATCATTATTATTGATACCAAAATTACAAGCACAAACAACAACAACAACAAAATTATCGCAGTTGCTGGAGAAGCTAAAATAATACTTTTGATGCTTATAAATAAGCAGACGTGGTATAATTGCCAATGAGATAACTTACCACCAGAGACCACATGACTTGAAGATAGCAACCGTATCTCACCTTGCGGCCTATAACAATGACCAAAATCCATACCGTATATCAAGCTATAAGAGCCCCGACATGAAAATTCAAACGAGAAACCTAACGGCCTGATTTATGTACGAAACAATAACGAAAAACCGAATATGACACAGAGCAACAGACGACAACCTCCGAATTTCGGCTCCGGACTTAAGACAGGCAAATACAGAATGTGGCACGCTAAACATTTTTATGGTTGTCCAACCCTTCCCTAACCTGGGGCAGTGGTGTTACAGCACAGCATAAGAACAAACTATAAACAGCATTTAACTAGGGCTCGACTCATCAGATCGTCACAGATGTGGTGTAATTAAATGTACACCTGATACAAATGATCAAATTAGGATTTTATCAGATTTTAAAAAATTACTAGTATATAAGAATTCGAAAAACACGATAAAATCAATAATGGTTTTGTAAAAATTTCTCATTTTGGCCTGAAAACAAATTAATTTTGATTAGAATCTTCAGTTTCTGAGAATTGTCTAGCAGAGAAAAAAACCTGAAACTCTGTGAAAGTCGAAAGAACTTATAAAATATATAAAAAAAAAAAAAACATTTGAGAAACTCAGTTAATGGAATTCGAAGAACTAGTTTTTATGTAAAGTCTATGGTAATTTCAGTTAGTACTTTGTGATAATCTGTCAAATACGATTTGATCAAAGACGAATGTAGTTTAAGTAACTAATTTAAGAAAGCAAGATTTGTACAAAGTGGAAGATAAAAGTGTAAAAACAAAAGCAAAAGTGAACAACCAAAGTTATGCAAACATTTTTTGATTAACCGGACTGGTCAGATATTTATAGGGGGCGTAACTAACAATTAAATATAGAACATAATCTATAATTAGCACTTCCGTTATCCCCAAAATAATAAAAACAGTAGTAAGCAATGTATAATGCGAATATTAAACTAACTTGGCATTCTTGAAGCTAACGCTGTGATGTCCAATGTGCAGTTTTAATAAGAGACATGATGTCAAATAAGTGCTAAATTAAAAATGGCTTCAAATACCATTTCACACGTATTATTGTTATACCCTAGAATACTTGTCTCAGTTTATACACATTTACTGGGACTATTATACTATAATAGTCGATCATTCTATAGTCAAAATAAGATTGCATATGTAAAGCATTACACACGAATGTAGGGCAAGGCACATTTAGTTTTTGGATATTTTTTGCGGTTGATTAACAATACTTCTATTAAGTTTTTATTTTGTCGTGATTTTTCTCTAAAAGACTTTTTCTTTAAACTGATTTTCTAGCTTAAATTTCTACCAAAACGATTATTAACTGTAATTAACGGTGACCTTTTTTACTTATCAATTTTGTACATGTACATTTTTTTGAAAAACTGAATTGGTAAATCCACAGACATGATCAATCTAACTTTTCCAAGCACTCAATTATTTTCCACTTTTTATATTATAGCACACCAGTATTGTCTATTCTTTTTATTTTATATCATAGAACACCATTTATTTTTCTCTATTCTTCATATTATAGCACACAATTATTTTCTATCCTTTATAGTATAGCACACCATTTTTTTCTACTCTTTATACCCCCTAAGGTGACTGGGGAATAGATATATGGTAACTCTTGGTCTTCTTCCGACCGGCAGTAAAACTCTTGTCAAAGTGGCGTCCGCTTGTTATCTTTAGGGGTGTACAAGTCGCAGCAGTGCATGTCAGGCATTGCGGTCATAAAACTTTCGAGCACGATTATCGTGCTCAGACTCAGAAATCAACAAATCAAATTATTGGATTTGGTGTTTCGAGCACAAATTTTGTACTCCGAGTACTGAGTTAAGTTTTATGACCGAGGGGTCAGAATGGGGACGTTAAATCCGATTCCTCGTGTAGAGTGTGCCACGCTCTCTGCACGCACAGAGAGGGGTCCGTAGGTGGCCTGTTGTAAGGCTAAATTTCTGCCCCTATCCAATATACCCTCATTCTCTAGTGGCAGTAATAATTTATCCGACCTGTATCCCGGACGGCCTCTATTACAGGACCTCCCTATTGTATTTCTTGTTAATTTCTTTTCGTCTTGAACATGCATGAAATATTTACCACTGGACGTTAAGCAAGCAACCAACTATCAATATATTCTTTATATTATAGCACACCAGTATTCTCTATTCTTCATATTATAGCCAACCATTATTCTCTATTCTTTATATTGTAGCACATCATTGTTCTCCATTCTTTATTTTTTTTGTCCTTTTTTTCTCTCCAGTCTTTATTTTTTTGTCCATTTTTCTTAATTTTTGCCGTTTATTCTCAAGTCAGTCAACTCCACCCAGTCTCTCCTGTATCTGTAAGTGCAGGTTTAATTTTTTCTGGATTTTTTTACTTTTATGACATTTGGTCGATCAGTATGGTCTGATGTAGTCTAGTATTGTTATGATTTATACTGTCCTGTTTTTATATCCTTTCAGAGTTCTTATACACTTACCTTACAAAAAAACACACATCAAGTTACTTCTATGTAAATGAAAATAACTGATACAAATACTAAGAATGCAACGTAAAGAAACATCCTTAACAGCTATTACTGGCAGGTCAGTGAGAACATACAATGAGCTAGCTCAATTTTCATTTACAAAAGAAATTGCAAACGACACAATAGTCTGAATGTTTCTTAGCTTTTACACCAATAATCTATATCGCCTAATCCTTTTGGGAAGAACAAATATAGGAACCAACCTTCACACAATACCACTGTGCCAGTGTTATCAGTGTCTATATAAATGAAGAACTTAACCAGAGTCATTCGTGTTACTCAATACTCTTTGAATGCATATGCGTATCATACACATGGAAAAGATGGAATGGGATGTATCCCACACTGCATGGTAACTTGTCAAACCAATAACTCAAAAGTGTATTCTACTTCTCCAATTATTTTAATATCCGGTATGTATTAGCACGCAAGAAAGGACAGTTTCACAAGAACAAAATCTTCTCCTGTGAACCTTTATATGAAAATAAGTAGATGTGGTATGATTGTTAACGAGACAACTATTGACCAGAGTTCAAATGACGTGAACATAAGCAAATATAGGTCACTGCCTGGCCTTCATTATTGAGAAAACCCCATACCGTATAGTCAGCTATAAAAGGGCCTTACATGGAAAATGTGATACAATTCAAACGAGAAAACTAACTGTTTCATTGTTTATAAGATTTTTTGTTTGTTAATACAAATCTTAATGCTCTGACATTTCTGACAACAATCTTTTTCTTGATTTTTGTTTTATAGTCTTATAGGTCTGTGGACCTTTTCTTGGCTTTGTGGTTGCTGTCGAAATAATGTATACCCAACATTCTTGGTACTGTGATTTATTTATACTGATTGGTACTTCAGTATTTCATAAATTTTTCTTTGAATCTTATTATAAAATTGAAGCACGATATAACGAATATCCTGAACATTATATCTTTTTAATTCTTGACATTTTTCACATCAAATCTGTTACCAGAAATGATCAGAAATCATCACTGGTTTGTCTCTACAAAAGAAAATAAATATCAAAACCATATTAATTTTTGGTCACCAGCAAGAAAAAAATATATTGTTTGAATAAAAATAACATCATAGAAATATATTGTATACATTATTTTTCAGGGGCCAGCTGAAGCAGGCCTCCGGGTGCGGGATTTTTTCGCTCCCTTTTCTAATCTATAGATTTTTTTAAAAAAATCGAATAAAGAACATTTTGTCCGTTTGGTATTTCCACCTCTTTTTTATAAAGCGCAAAAGCACTTCATACTAATAATGTGCGCAACATCAATGCTTTTACAATCCTATGAAATTACAAGAAAAATAAAAATTTAATTCTTATGATTAATAGATGATAAAAGGCCATATATCTGACCTGTCAGAAATGTTAAATGTGCCTGCTTTCCCATGAACATTGGATGTATGTATAAAATGGCATCTTATAGATACACTTTTTTCTGTTTTTCTTCTACTTATGGTTTTGGATTGCGTTCTCTCCTTTGAATGGCTACATTGAATCTCTCCTTCCCCCCCTTTTTTTTTACACCTATCAAGATGCAAACTCTCTAATATAGAAAGATGCAACAATCTTATCTTGGATGAAAGTCATATTTCGGCGTCATAAACCCTATTCATCAAATATGTATAAAGTTAAAGATACTACATATCAATCCCAGAATTTATTTATAGCAAACGACAGTTCGAGTGGTCACAGTCAAAACAAAATTTGCCATTTATTGTTATTATTAACTCGTTTGCATAGCACGGACATTATAACTACTCAATGTAATAGGTTGCATTGAAATTTTTGTTACAGTTTGTATTGTTATAACATCTTACCAGGGTTGGTTGTGCTGTTATTTTCCTTCGTGGTCATGGAAGCATGCATGCTGTCTGTGTGTTTTCCGTGACTTGTATAGCGTCACAGCAAAAAATTAAAAATAGCTTTAAACGATGTCATAATTATTTCGACTCAACCTATTCAATAACCAACTTCTTGGTTATTTGTCTTGGATATTATCAATTTAAACTAGGTAAAACGCCGATACTATTCCGACTGTCATAAATCACCATTTCT